AAGTGACTTATGACCATTTTTCATACTTACAACTGTTGCAGCATCCCCACAGTCATGAGAGGCCAGGCGAGGAGTTGCGTGCCTCAATGTAAGTGATATTGAGTTGGCCACGCCCAGCCAATAACATGACCACAAGCCACGCCCACCAACTAAGCCACACCCACAGAACCGGTTGTTAAAAGTTTGAATCCCACCCCTGGTCTCATCAGATAAAACTGTTGACATCGTGATGTATTTATAAATGTGCATGAACTTTGCTCTCAATTCCTCTTGACTGTAAATATTTAGCGAGTTGTGCAAATCCTGGGTTAGACAATGATAGGATTTTGGGCTTTTTTCAGAGATTTTGGAGAAATGATTTATCATTCAAAATGACCTTATGTATCTATTTAGCACACTGTTGTTGTAGTCTTGTATTTAGGCTCAAAGTTTTGTTTACACAGTGTTGTCAGGAGAACCAGAGAGCTACTTGCCAATATCAGAAATGGTTTTTCTATTCTAGTACTTTACAAAAGTGGCAGAAATGTGGTTGTCAATATAGGATAAAGTTGGGGAAACTGAATTAGATTAATGAAGGCTGAGGATTTCATGGCTGTGTTTTATCAAAACAACAACGGCTGCAGCTGCAATAACACCCTTCATTTTTCTATTCTTTCTTGACCAAATTAATTGAGGAGAATTGCACTGTGGATAGGGAATGTTTTTAGTGTAAATTTCCTAATTTTACTGAAATTTTCCATGATGTACAAAAATCCATGCTGAGTGATCTTAGATTAGGGGTCTTCAAACTTGGCAAGTTAAAGACTTGAGGACTTCAATTCCCATAATTCTTCCTCCAGTCATGTTAACTCAGGAATTCTGGGAGTTGAAGTCCACAAGTCTTAAACTTGCCAAGTTTAAAGACCCTTGTCTTAGATAATAGAACTATGCAAAGCTTACATGGGATATTTAGATTTGACAGATTTGTGAGAAACATCCTTACAAAGTTGCAACATAAAGTAATGCTCAATTATAGAGAATATTATGGATGCTCACTTCTCATGAAAGTAGAAACAAACCACCATTTTCTGAGTGGCAAGTGATCCCTCACAACCTGTCCTCATTTCTTTAGCTTCTTACTCCAGCCCTTCTGGATAACAACCTGATATATTTCTTTCTGACTGAATCGATCCCTGCCATATCATCAAGATTAAAAATTCCCCCAAAAGTAATTTCTCCTCAGAATGAAGAAGGATTATATGGCAGGTGGTTGAAACACTGAGCCAAAACCCAGATAAAATTAGTGCAGATTTATTATTGCTACCTAGGAACATTGCAACAGACAGTGTGTGAATTAAACTTCAGTTTAAGTGGAAAGTGAGATACCTGATTGTGTTAGCAATTTCTACTGGCTACATTACCTAGTGGACAGAATATCTCCAAGAGTATAAATAAAATGAAGAGATAAAACCTGAATTAATTCAGCCTACTAATTTTAGCACAGACACTTCAAGACACTTTGCCCGCTCTACTATGCTAACCTGGGGCAACTCTCCAATTTTCCACTCTGGAAAGTTTATAACTTGCCATTTGAAACTCTGACAGAAGGTTCATGTAAAATACTACCTGTACTGGATAAATGTTTCTTGTTTACATTGAGAAGCAAATCTAAAGTTTCAGGAATGGTTCAATACTTATATGTAATGTTGTGAGAGACATTATTACTTTCAAAGGTTTCAGGAAAGGCACAGGACATGCCATTCAAGTTGTTGCAAAACTGAGTAATATGATTTGATTAATATATCAAGATGTAACCTATCCCATCTCACTGTAGTTACAATTTTAAAATGTGTAATGAAGGGATTTGGGCCTATGACATGTTGTGCCACAAAAATTTTGTTAGATAATATAAGAAGGGAGGAGGATTGGGATGAATCACAATTGGATGAGTTTACATGACATTTTAAAGTATTAATTATGATTTACAAATGATAAATTAAATAAAATAAACCTTATTGTTGCTCAATGTGACTTATGGGGCCAATACCTGGCTATTTTTAGTGAAACAGCATGCTGTAGTTAACCTTCCTTTGTCTTCAAATAAGTAATTTTCTCCAAATGCTTTAGGGTTGCTGGTTGAGAATTCTGGAAATTGCGATCTCAATTACTTTTCTTTTTCCTAAAGAAAATGTTCCTTTCTTTTGATGGACAATAGTAAGTTGATATGAATCAGCAACTATGACAAGGAAGTACAATTTAGCCTGGTGTGTTGTGAGTGTAGTTAATTTAGAGCAGTGTTTCTCAGCCTCAGCAACTTTAACATGTGTTTACTCCAACTCCCAGAACAGTAGCTGGGGAATTCTGGGAGCTGAAGTCTACACATCATAAAATTGCTAATGTTGAGAAACACTGATTTAAAGACTAGCGTGCTTATAGAAACACTAAAAATCGGTGTAATTAAGAAAAACTGCATTAACAATTGGTTGCCATGTTGTGCAATCACAATAATTATCAGGAGATATTTTGCTACCACCCAAATTCCAGAGTGATGCCTCATCTGGCATTTTTCTCTAACCCCAGTATTGGAGAGGGAGGAAGGTCCTACATTCTGTGTTGCTTTTCTAACAAATTAAAAAGGAGAAATGAAAAGAAATAAATGTTATACTACCACCTTCTTGCCCTGTTATGTTGAAGTACAGAACTGGATATAAGGCTACTTATTCCTTCCTTCTGGGAAATGGCGTAATATCACAAAAGTTGAATAAAACCAAATTTGGGGTGAGGCAAAAGTTAAATAGAAGCTCCAGGGCAGTCACCAGAATCTAGACACTTTTTGCAAATATTATCTGTGACTGTGTTTGATTACATGCCCTCAAATCATTTTTGACTCATACCTGACTACCATGGCATGCTAGACTTAAGAGCAAAACATTTCCTGTAGAGTATAAGTGGGTAGTACCACACAGCTTTCAATCTCTAAATGTATCAACAGTATGCCTCTTCTAGTCTTACCCATCACAGAAATGCTAACAGGGCATCTCCATCAGCTGCCATTGACTTGTTATGGCAGTGTGTGGGGCAGCTGATTTCAATATGGCCTCTGATTAGTGATATGACCTCCATAGCACCTGCATCCTTAGTGCTATGACTTCCACAGCATCTGAAAACCATCAGACCATGTGACTCTGATGGTTTGGATGATGGTGGAGTGTTGGTAGAAGAATGTGGGGGTCGAATGGCTTTTCACAGTTCACCTGCTGCACCTCTTCACTTGAGCTGGTAGTATACTGCTTGTGCATATGCCTGAAAGTGGGCCATGTGACTATACTTATGGTGATCCTTATAGCAGGATGTAGAGCTATTTTTCTTTCAGACCCTGGGGATTCATTTAGTTAGGTGCACAATCATTTGTGATTTTCCTATGCAACCCTGTATGTGCATTGGTCCTTCTCCTGCCCTTAGACTTCCAGTGAAGGGTCAAGTGAAAGGAGACGTCACCATGCCACAGTATCCAAAATACTCCTAAATTCCCTACTAAGAATATACATGCTGCATATGAGTATTATTATTTGCACTTGATGATCCTGTAGACAAGAACTGCTTCTATGGTGATAGGTGTTTAAGAGTGCTAATTCTGACTCTCTGACCTGTTCCTTGACTTGGCTCTTATCCAATCTGTGCTGGAATGCCCTTGCTTTAGAGTGAAGGCAATGAATCTCTCTTGCCCAGAAGCCAAACAGAGAACATAAATGTAGCAAAGTACAGCAGGCCTTCTAAAATACTGTATGAAATGTATGGATCTGTGTTGCACCACTGCCTATGGAAAAAAGGGAAAGTGGGAACTAGTGCAGGCAGTGCATTGGAAGGAGCTTCATGATCCCACATAAACTGGGAGAAACATTTTGATGTGTTTGCATTTGCTCCAGTCGTGTTTCATGGTCTGGGGGAACTGTTTGTCCTGAGTTTCCAAGTGACCTCTGATATATGGGAGCCAACCTGACATCAGAGCCCTGCCCCAAAGCTATATTTTCTGTGGCCAGGAGAAGATTCAACAAAGTTTGTATTTCTTCCTTCCTTCCAAAAATGCTGACTGTTTTGTAGCAGGAGAGCCAAGTGGTTCTGAAATCTACAAGAAAGTCCCTGGTCATTTGTACCATGTATGTTCTCAGTGTGACTAGGAGGGGTGCAAGGGAAAGGTATCCACCAATCAAGACTTGCTCTAACTGTAGTCTAAACCAAATGCCCAGCCAGCATTATTGCCATACTGGGAGAGCCAACAGAAATACAATTCCATCTCCTGGCTTAATTTCAAATTGGGTGAAGCCGATGAGACACTGCAGAATTGCCTTACAACACCAACAATCTTCCTCCTATGCTACAAAAGCCAGCTGAATATTAGATAATAATAAACCCAAAGAGATTCTTATTTCCATTTATTGATATTGATAATGCAGCTCATTGCATAAGAGATATCATAGCCTAAATTGGCTAAATTCAAATTCAAACATATTGAGGCAACAGGTTATATCCCTGATTTAAGAAAACCAAACCAAACAAGCAGTAGCTAAACCAGTTTTTCTCAACCTCAGTGACTTTAAGATACTAGACTTCAATTCCCAGAATGCCACAGGCAGCAAGTCCACAAATCTTAAATATTGCTGAGATGGAGAAATGGTGGGCTAAACCATAAAAGCCATCCACAAAATCAACTTGCTCCACATGAACAATCCAGGAAGCAAGTCATTTCATCAGTTCTTCTGAATTCCCCAAACATTTCCCAACCAAAGGGCATGTGCTCTTCCCCAACGAGTCAATTGCCTAGCATGTGTGCACAGTGTGGCCTATGTTTGTTGTTGTTGCCCTTGTCATCATACCATCAAACAATCTAGCAGGGCGGGAGGAGGAAAAAGGGAGCAAACTTTACCCTATTGAGCAAAGGAAAACTTCCAGAAAACTTCACTCACCCCACCCCTTCCAGTTGCCTGATCAAGTTTCAATGCCCCTTGCTTTTCTATATAAAGAAAGCCCTGGAGTCAGGCATGTGAAGTTAAGAGTGCGTTTGTGAATGGTTCTTCAAAATCACTGTGTTCCTGCTACGTTTCTACAACCCAGCTTTATTGTTCTCCAAGGACGTACGTAGATTTGGTGGGATCTGGTTGCCTGAAAAAAGTGAAAAGGTGTTCCAGGACACTGCACTGCGAGATCATAAAGGTAATCAGAGCTCTGCTTATGTTTTCCTCCCGTTCCTGTTTGTTCTTCTTGGGATTCTAGGAATGCAAATCCACACTTTCAATTAGGTCAAATTCTTTCCTGAAGTTTTCTTTTGAGGTGACTTCAGCAAGCGATTTTATATGATCTTTTTTTTGTTTAAAAGCAGTGGGGATGCTAGAAAGTTCTTCTGCAGAGATTTCACAGAGACTGAACGTGAGTTGCGTGTTGGGACTAGTTAATCCGAAACAGGGCTCCTTAGAAAAGAAAGCTATAAAAGCAGGTTGACCTTTAGCTTCTTAAGGCTTTTGAGGAATTTTAAGCACATATCCTGAATATATGAGTGGGAATAAGACCTAAATTCTACACAGAATGGTCTCTCGGTGAAGAAGTCACTGCTTGTTGAAAGAGGTAATCTGTTAGCAGCACACGAAACATACTTTGTATTCTGGAAGTGTAGTCTCAGTCTGCATTTCTGAGCATCTTCAGATCCTGGAAAAAAGAGATGAAAGCTAGTGGACTCTTTCATTCAGAACAGACAGAAGAATTATTTGAGACAGACAAATTCTCTAAACCAGTGTTTCTCAGCAACTTTAAGATGCATGGACTTTAACTCCCAAAATTTCCCAGCCAGGTTGAGGAACATTGCTATAAATTGTCCCAAAGGTGCTTTTTTTACCCTTCAAGATGCAACTGGACTTTCATGTAAATTATTCCATTGTCCTGCATCCAGTCAGAGCTGGAGAAGCTTCTTGGATGAGAAGCAAAATATCTTCAAAGAAAAACATGAAAGTCCAGTTGCCTCTTGAAGAAAAAAAAGGACCTTTGGAACAACCATGACCTAGATGGCTGAGAATCTCCATAGACACTGCTGATTCATCATGTCTTTTGTGAGACTCCAAAGAATTCTTCCAATTGCAAGTATGTTTATTTGCTGCCAAGACAAATTGAGGAGGACAGCTAGCAGGGTCAGTGGTAAGGGGTTGTGGGAATTGTAATCAAAAATAGCAGGAGGGGATCCAGTTGCTGTCCCTATCTTACATTTTATAGAAGTAGAAAAAAAGAATAGATGGGTTTATTTTTATGTAACAAGAATAAATCTCACGGCTTTGGGCATGAAAAAGCCAAGTTATAAATCAAATAAATAAATTCGCATATATGGTATGTTAAATATATTCCCTCTACCCATTAGAGAGATACAGTCAGTATTGTTATGCAAATAGGTAATATAATTTTCTATCCATAGACTGTAGAAAAGTAATATGGACTTTTCCCATTTTCGTTCAATCTGCAGGGTGCTCTGCAACAACATAACAATGACAACTGTGCCTTCAGCTGGCTGCCTTTTAGCCAAGAACCACTATTACAGAAGTGAGTATTGTGCCCTGAAATCATGGGTGTTTTTGGTGTTCTCAGTATTTGCATGATTTTAGAACTGATTTCCTTCTGTATAAAAGAAAGTGCCCTGTATAGTGTTTATATTGCAACAGACTTTGATACTTAACTTTAGCTAGCCTAGCAATAACCAGAAGTTTCTTCAGTCTCTTCCTTGATTCAACTTGTGAATAATTTAATTTTCTACTTATTGCAATCCATCTCATGTCTTTGATGTATAATCTTTGGATGTGATCTAGTCTTATCACATACTATGATAAATTTGTGCACTTGAATCTAATGAAAGTCAGTGACTCAGAGCATTATTAATTGATAAGATACTAATGAATAAAAATAAACCAGCAACTCCCTGTTGGCCACGAAGGCCAATATGCAAACATCAGAATGGAATATGAACAGTTATAGTGCTAACTCCTAGTCAGTGTGTTATTGACAAACAGTCTGTCAATCCTGAAGTTAGTTAGGTCACCTGACTTTTATTTCTTGAGTTATGCAAAATGAAACACAACAGCTAATAGGTTTGCATTCTATTTATTTAAGAAATGTGAAAGAACTATTGTCCTTTCATTCTGAATTGACAATTATATGATCTAGCCTTCTATACATAAAATGGCTATTTTCAGAAGGGATCATAATCTGATTGGTAAAATGTCATAGTATACATGTTATCTGATCATCCGTTTTATTAAAAGTACTTCAGGTTTTGTACAGGAATATATAAATTTTTGGGCTTCAAGAAAAACTTGGGTCCTAAACACTAGTTTACTTTTTAATAATAAATACAAAATGCTTTTCACTTTCTGAAATAGAATGTAATATTTCTATTTTTACATATAGCACGATTGAATTCTGAATCCAGTGTTTCTTCAAGCAGTTCATCTTCCTCTTCTGATCCCATGCCATTCTCAGACCAGGAAAAAAATCATCATGGTATTGTACCTTTATTAAAGTTTCTAGCTGTTGTCCAGAAAAATCATGAAATATATTCCACTGTCTTCTATTGTACACTTAATCTCTATATGTTTTTAGTGAAATTAAAGCTTGATCTTTCTCCAATATTGCTGCTTCGTTAAAAGTAATAGTTTTCTTTTTGCTTTGAAGCTTTATTATACAATGGATATTTTGCATCTTCCATTTATAGGCCTACCTGAAATATTTGAAAAGTGCTGGTGGATAAAAAGCTTTTTTCATAGTGAGCCAACACCTCCAAATGTAGGCAGAAAAACCTTATCAGCCAGCAGGTAAGAACTGTTTCCTGGAGTACACAATTTATTTGAATTAATTTAAAATTTAGTCGCAAGCTAATGTGCTACTTGAGGTTCATTCTGATGCTAATTATAACTGTAGTTTACATAGAAATGCTCAGCCCAGAATAGAGCTTAAAATAGAGCTTAAATCTGCTTATTCTGGACAAAGGTAGGCTTTGTGATTATTCCTTTTGCCATGTGTCCTAAACAGCTGCATTAGTTTCTCCTGAAAGCTTGGCAGTAATTCTTTATACTAATCATGATCTTAAATCATAATTTCTGTCTTGACAGTACTAACAGCTGATTGGGATATCAAGTTGAAAGTTCCTGCTGGGACATTATAGACAGTCATGTCTTGAAATGAATTCACTTCTGTGAAGAAAATGAACTACTTGAGGATTCAGTTGTAGAAGAAATACAGATTATCAAGGATTTAATCAGAGCTTATTCAACAAGCAACCATCTTTACAGTGTCTGCTGCAAGAATTCTTGATAATGAACAGGTGTCCTATGTTTCATAATTTTTGTGTTTCACAAGAGAAAATGCAAATGCAAAGTGTAGTGGGATATGGTATATCTGATGATTTGGGATATCTTTTACTAAACTGAAATGCTGTAGATTTTTTGGGTCAAAATCTTTTAATGTTAACATGCATTTTATACAATGGTGCCTTTTTACTTAGCAAAATATACCACCTCTTTCCACAGAATTTAAGTTTGGAATGTTAACTATAATAATCTTCTACTCATGAATAATTTACTTAAATGCCAAATACAAATTTCTCTTACTTGTCAACAGCTAGAAGAAAGCTGGTTAAGGCATTATTTATGATCCACATTAAAAAACAAAAATGGAATATACATAGTATTAAACTCCTTATCTGATTCTAATTCTACTATTTGCATTGGAGCTTTATTTCATAGGTATGTTACTATTGTATATTACTGCTTTGACATCAAATAGTGTACAATTTATATCAACTCTTCAAATTAGAGATAATTTAAAAAACTCTGGATTAATTTTTATTTTATTTTTGATGTATACTATTCTGTTTCAAAGCATAGGAAAAAAACAGACCCATGTTCTGCTTTGTAGGAGTTGTAAGTTTTATTTACTTATAAGGAATATATATTTGTATCACATGAGAAAATCTGTGAGTGCTGAATATTCTAAATTGAATTATTTAATATATTGATGATGCTTCTAATGTTCCTTTGTTATCCTTTTATTCTTCTGATTAATTATACACAATGTTCTGTAGTATGAATGAATAGTAACATCAAGTTTGAACAATTTTGCTTTATCAAATTATTACTTACCTGGATGCAATATTGCTGACTGCATACCTGGATGCATAATGCTTTAAACACACACACACACACACACACACACACACACACACACACACACACACTGTATACCCCTCTAGTGGAAAGAGATTAATATAGCACAATAAAATATAAACACGCAGTAAGTCTGTTCTTTAAGTCTGCTTCCATTTGGGTATTATCTTTTTGCTGTCTGTTCAACTTTGTATATAGAAGCCTATTTATAATATTGGCCAAGCAATGTGTTAATGTATATTACTTGTTTTTCGATGAAATTTTGTATTAATAAAAATGGATAAAGATGCCTTCCAGTTATTTCTTTTGAACAAGATTTGCATTAAATATCTCTAAAATGCTGTGGCAGTTAAATGAAGCTGTAGGCAATTTTGTGTACACAAATCTAGTAAATGCTTTTTCTTTGCCCTGATAGATGCGTACATCAGTGATCCCCAACCTTTCTTATGCCGTGGCCCGGTATCCCCAACCTTTTTTATGGTGCGGCCCGGTACCGGCATTAGCTGGGCACCGCCATCTTTTTTTGATGAAAAAGTGCTTCCGGTGAGCTTTCTACCCGGAAAAGCTCACCGGAAGCACTTTTTCATCAAAAAAAGATGGCGGCGCCCAGCAAACCAGCGGCCCGATAGGACTTGTTCCACGGACTGGTACCGGTCCGTGGACCGGTGGTTGGGGACTCCTGGCGTACATAGTGTTCAATGCCAGGTGAAAATTTTCCTGAGAAATAATAGATTATTGACAATATGTATTAAAAGGCATTGTACCCTTGGCAGCTTTAATCATTAGTTTGCAATTAGTTGTTGCTATTCTGTAGAACCAGACTACAGTTCTGATTTGTAGTCAAAGCCTCCATTTAGGAAAGGTCACCTTGCAGGCTAGAAGGCAAAAAAAAACCCCAAGAACTATGCTTTACTTCGATTGACTTACCCATTGGGACATTTCAGATCTTTTTATAGGTTGGTAAGCATTATAGTTGACAAATTAGAATGACAGTACAAACATAAATGATAAAAAGTTACACTGTTTTTAAGTCATATAACCTAAAATATGCATCCTTAATTTTATGTCCTTGGGAGGTGTCGTTTAAAATTGAAATAAATATAAGTTATAGAAAGATACTGTCATTGAAAAAATAATGAATGATAAAAGCAATTCACATTTTCTTCAACATAAATTATTGAATGCACTGAGTGTTATCTATGGAGGAACATCAATTGAGATGTATAAAGCAGGCCCTAATTAAATACACTTAAATCTATATCAAAATCATTTTTAAAAAATGTGAAACTTACAAGCAGATTTTTAAAAAATGTACAATCATAGCAAAGTAAAGTAGCTTTGGATCTTTAGATTTGGAAATCAACTGACCGGAAGAACACCAAATCTAACTCTTAAATAGATTATGGGTAGACCTTATTTAGCAATTGTCTTGTTTAGCAATCACAGTTATGATTGATGAAAAAGTAATTTTATTACCAGTTTTCACTAGTCTGTAAAGCAAAGGAAACCAAAAGATCATGAGCACAGTTCAGTTTTGTTACAGTCTGAGTTGCTGTTCCCACTTGGGCACATTAAATGAGGACTCCCCATCTGCTCATATAGTCCCATTTTCTGTATGAACAGTAGATGGAAGCCATGGCCTATAGAACCTTCACTTAGTTGTCTCTGGTGTGTCAATTGTGATCATACCTAGAGTAGAAAATATTGAAAACAGTCATTCTGCCTTTGTTGCCTCATTACTATCATGCAACCTAAATGGGAATGCTCTTGAATATTATCAAGAAACTATTGGTGCAAAAGTGGATATTCAGTTAAATTGACATGTATATATTTAGAGCTTTATTTATTTTATTTATTGTAAATTTAACTAGGACAAACCAGTTATTAAATAAGTTTAATATTGTAGGAGATGCATTGGCTATTTATTTCCAGGCACAATTCAAGGCATTTTGTCATCACCTTTAAGGCTACACATGGCCTAGATCCTAGAATTTGACTATCTCTAATATCAGGTAGAATCTGTCCATCCAAGACATATCTTTGGAGAATATTTAGTAAGGTACCTGCTCTGTCTGAGATATGAAGTTAGATATGAAGGCACATTTTTTGTTCAGGTTCTTCTATCCTATGGTATGCCTTCCCACCAGAAATAAAAATAGTTCCCTCCATGTATTCCAGAATAATTTTTATATGTGCTTTTGGGCACTGAGGTGAGAATGAAAAATGTATCTGAACTAAGATTAATCTGGCTGTCTGGTATTATGCTATTTGTTTGCTTGTTTCAATCAATTTATATGGCCGCATATTTTTTAATAGTAATTCTGAGTAGAAACACAGAATGAAAACTCACTAAAATAACCAATAATAACACTAATAAATATATAGTGTCAGCAAAGACCAACAATCACTATAAATAAATATTCAACTCACCAATCCCATTAAATTATACTGTTCTACCATCATCCCAGTGCCAAAGAAGCCCTCCATCAAGGAACTGAATGACTACAGACCAGTTGCTCTAACATCTGTAGTTATGAAAATCTTTGAAAGGCTTGTGCCCACCTGAAAACCATCACGGATCCGCTGTTAGATCCCATGCAGTTTGCATATCGAGCAAATAGATCGACAGATGATGCTGTTAACATGCATTACATCCTACAACACCTTGAATCTCCAAATACCTACGCAAGGGTCCTCTTTGTAGACTTCAGTTCAGCATTCAATACCATCAGTGTTTCCCCCACTAAGCATCTAAATATAATATTGACAATAGTGCTTATTCAGTATAATTCACTTTGGAAGTGAGATGCCTACAACAATTTCCCTTCAAGTTTTTGTTTTAAAATAAGTGTGTTGTATAGTATTCTTTCTCAGCACAAGAACAAATATTGATTAGAAAAATATGTAAAGGCTCTGGGTATCAGAAAATTGTTTGCTGCTGTTTTGCAGGTCTAATCCACTTGAGTACATTTCATTCATTTTAATGCACATTTAAATCAGGCTGATAAATGTAGTTCCCATTTGTTTGTTTAGTAGTTCAAAACCTGAACTGGGAGTTTTGGGTAAGCATGGGACAATTCCATGTTGAATTTCCATATAAAATGCAACATGCTAATTGTTAAGTGTTTATATCAAGCATGTCAATCTTTAATTCTCCAGATGTTGCTTACATTTTGGCTGAAGTAACATCTGGGGGTCAAAAGTTCCTTCTACTTATTTTATGTCATGCAAATGAAATTTGCTACACAGCATGACTTCCATATTCTGCCTTCATAATATTCATAGCTAACAGCATAGAATCCAATAAAGTTGCATTTCTATCCTGTAGGCTCATATATGAATGTGGGAAAAGTTGGATAGAACTTTCGCAAACTGTATTTAAGGGAAAAGCAGAGCTGACACATAACTGTGTTATTCAAATATAGGCACCTTATAGAAAAGAGGACACATTACTGTATGCATTTTATCAAAATGCCTGCAGATTAAATACTGCTTCCATTTCTCTTGACTGTGTTCTATACAACATCAAGAGTTTCTTCAAATATGGCTGGTAAATTTTCCATTACTGTTAAGTCTGGGCGGTGGGTCCCAAGGAGAGACGAGACTCAAAGTAGTGACAACAGCTCTTTATTGGAAAACCAGATACTGAGACAAGACTCCCAGCCGAGGCAGCTCCTTTTATAGAGCTGGCTGCGGCTAGGCAGCCTATGACATGCATTTGAGCTTGCCGCGCTTGGTTTTACCCAATCGCGGCAGCCGAATAAGAACCAATCAGAACGCTTAGTTTTGTCCAATCACGGCCCGGCTTTTCCGGACCAATAGGAATGCAGGCCTACAAGCCTGCTAGTATGGAACACCCCTCCCCTCTTGGTTCCGTCCAAGGGGTGGGGTAACATAATCACGCAAATAGGCGGGTCTTCGTACCTGCCTACTAGACTTGCACAGTTCACAATGTCTCTGTTCACCATCGGGTTCGGACGGGCTCTGAGTCGCTCTCAGGCTGCAAGATGGAACTGCCTGGAAGGGTGAGCCGGTCCTCTGGCTGCGACTCCAGCCTGGTGATTCCGGGTCGGTTGAGTCATTTGCTCTGCTGCTCCCGCCTGGGCTCTCTGGGCTGGTGGAGCTTGTCCGGGCGCTGCTTCCAGGCGAAGTGCCCGTCTGCCACGACTCCCTTCTGGCTGGTAAATATTGTTGGTTTTTGTTTAATGTCTGTGGGGGGTGTTCTACTTGTACAGATGTTCGTTCATTTTCTGAACTTGAGGTTCCCCCCCCCCTCTGATTTCTTGGTTAGAGTCTATGAGGGGGGAAGCGGCCAGCCTGGATCTTAGCTGGTCAATATGACATTTCCACGACCTCCCATCGGTGGTCTCGAGCTGGTAGGAGTGGGGGCCTGTGACTTGGGTGATTTTTGCAGGGATCTAAAGTGGGTCCCCTGTAAAGTTTTTGGCAAATACAGTGTCTCCTACCTTGAAGGCGCGGTGCTTGCTGCTGGAACCAAGGGGTTTTTCTGGAGTGTAAGCAGGGTGCAGGCGGTCTAGAGGTGACCTGAGTCGTCTGTCCATTAATAGCTCTGCTGGGCTCTTGTTGGTGGTGGTATTTGGTGTAATATGTTGTAGAAGAAGCATCCTGGTGATCTTCTCGTGGATGTTGCCATGTTCCATTTTGTGCAGAGTTTTTTTTGTAAATTGAACCATGCGTTCAGCTCTACCATTCGCCGTCGGGTGCGCTGGCGATGTCAATGCGTGTCGGATGCCGCGGTCTGCCAAGTATTGTTCAAAAGCCAAGGCGGTAAATTGTGGCCCATTGTCAGAAACGATAACATCTGGCAGACCATGCGTTGCGAAGTCTATTTAATTTCTTGATGACAGCTTCCGTGGTGGTTGTCTTCATTGTGCTCACCTCGAGCCAATTTGAATAAGCGTCAACAGTGATTAAGAAGGTGTGCCCCTTGGTTGGCCCTGCGAAGTCAATATGGATGCGCGACCAAGGGCCTCTGGGTGTTTCCCATTCTAATGGTGGGGCCTTAGGGGGAGCCGAGCGAGTCTCTTGGCATCTGTTACAAGCGGTGACCCAGGTTTCAATTTGCTTGTCCATGCCTGGCCACCAAGCGTAGCTCCTGG